GAGGGGCCAGGGGGTGCCTCCCCCACCTGCAGAACAGCCAAGCCATTGGGCTAAGCTACAGGCCAGCTCCAGCCCTCACACTTACGCAGCCCTGCTGCGGCCATCTCCTGAGCTCGACCGAGGAGACGTCGCCGCAGGAACAGCTCTGAGACAGCTTCTCGAAGAGTGTCTCCCGAAAGATGTCCAACAAGGACCAGCCATGCTTGTCGGCTGCCCGCGCTGGGCTCTTGAGCAGAGAGAAGAGGAGCCATGAGCGTGGGAGGAGCAGGGGCTTACAGGCTGGTGTTGGGAGGCCGTGGCCAGATGGACGAAGCAGGGGGTGTAGAGGGACAAGGGGCTGCCCCCTTCCACCTCCCCTGAGCTGTGCTACCCGGCAGGACCTATCGGGGCACACATAAGTTGACGAAGTGGCTGGGCGGGCACATCCCTACATGCTCCCCTCTGTGTGCCAGATCACTCGCACAGTGTGCAGCTGTGCCTCGCACTGCACTTACATAGAAAGCCTGCTCCCGCAGGGATGGTGTGTCGGGGGGGCTCTGGTTGTAGGTAGAGAACCGCTTGTTCACCGTGGAGGCCTTGTTGACAGTGCTGGCTGCCGAGGGCTGGTCATCCTTGTCGAAGGGGCTGGTGAGCAGAGCAGAGAGATGAAGGGTGCAAGCCAGATGATGGAGTCCCGACCCTGCTCTGCAGTGAGCAGGAAGGCTATTGGGGCAGGCAGGGCCCTGCAGCCCTATTCAGTCCCCCTCTGGCACCCCATAACTGCAGCCCAGATTTGGGATGGGGGAGAATCCAGGGCAGGCCAGCTCTCGCCATGCCATGCCAGACATCCCCAGCCCTGCTGTGCCCTGCCAGGGATGCCCGCTGAGGTACTCACTTCCAGGTCACCTCCAGGCTGAGTTTGATGGTACCCAAGTCATTGATATCCACAGCCACTACCTGGGGTAGAGCTGCGAACAGGTCCTTGGTCTCACACGACACGTTGCCCACCACGACATGGTTGGCTAGGCTCTTAAGCTCTGTCACCTGGGGAAGGAGGGAGAAGAGAGGATGAGATGAAGGCACCAACTGCTAGGCACACAGCATCCGTGCTGTTGCCAGGAAGCCACCACTGTGGGACATCATCCCCTCCACCCTCCCCAGTGAGGATTAGGTTTAGGCTTAGGTCCTGAAGGCAATCCTTGGAGGGATACAATGTGGTAGTTGGGCTGCAGCAAGCAGAGAACCCCCACTGGCTCTCAGTGCTGCACCTAGCGTGCTCTCCTCCCACAGGCAGCCCATGGCTTTTTACATGTCTTCAGAGCACAGCTCTCCCTCAGGGCATGGCATAACCTCTGCTGCTGTTCCCCTACACAGCTCCCAGGGCAGCTCTGGCTGGGAAGGGTGGTGCAGTGCCTGCCAGCCCACCCTGTCCCTGCCTCCTCTCAGCTCTAGCCACAGAGTCCCGTACCTTGATGGAGAGGAACTCGGTGACGAGAGGCAAGAAAACCATCTCCTCACTGTCCCACACCTGCTTGCTGTTCACCTCGATGCGCCCCCGCAACTTCCACCGTTGCCGTCCGTACTTCATAAAGATCTGGGGAAGGGCAGAGGCATGGGGGTGGGGGTAGACACAGTTTGAGGATGGTGGGTGCTCTCCACACCTCCCAGGGCACATCTAGGGCCCTATGCCACCCACCACAGACCCACAACACGCCAGCCCAGTCAGCACCAGTACCCCAGGTCTGTGTACCCCCCAGGCACCGTAAGGACCACAGGGATGGAGGATACCCCAAAGGTCCCACAAACCTCGTACTGGTCACCAGCACACAGCCGGGCAAAACCTGCCAGTCCTGCAAGAGAAGATGGAGGTGTGTCAGTGCATGGCTGAGTCCATGACTGGCATGAGGTGGTCAGTGGGCCAGGCTGGAGGGGGATGTGTTACCTTTCATCCGGACATGGAACTCGCCCAGCTGACTCTCCAGCTCGCTCTCCAACAGGCACATGTTCTGGGAACAGAGGGATGGGGAGTACCGGTCAGCAGCAGTCCCCAGGCTCAGCACCCTCCCAACCTACCCCAAAATGGGCACCTCACCTCTGTGTACTCCTTATACCCCTTGCTGGCCTCGGCCAGGCTCTCACGTGCCTCTCGGCTACCCGGTGACCCTGTGCTGTAAGCCTTGACCATGTTGTGGGCCCCATCACGGAGCCGCCGCTGGATGCAATAGGCCTCGTAGAGCTCATCTATCTGCAAGGACAGGCCCAAAGCTGTGGTGAGGGGCAGGGTGCTGTGCTGGGAAGGCCAAACAGCAGGCAGGGACTGTGGCCTGGCCAACTCGCCAACCCCGACCTGCTGGCTCCGGGCACGCTCCGGCAGCTGTGCCGTAAGGCTTTCTTCAGCCAGTCTCCAGGGCATCCTGCTCACGCAGGACCATGTGCCTGGTGGGACAGCACATGGCTGCATTTGTGCCAGGACATGAGTGTGGAGCAGGCTGAGCTGGGCCTAGCACCACAAGTTTGCCTTGGTATTGCTGAAGCATGATGTGAGGTGGGGAAGAACCCCACGCTCCCAATGCTGCAAGGAAGCTGGAAGTCCACTGGACTACAAAGTTGACCCCAGTGCCCAGGTCTTACCTTGCTAGCATGAAATTCCAGGCGACGCAGGAAGCGCTCAATTGACTTAACTTGCTGGAATTGCAGAGGAGACAGCGTCAGAGGCAAAAGAAACTCTCCAGAGAGGGGCCATAGGCCAGGATGTGCCCAGGCAGGCACCCTGCTGCATGCCCATGCCATGAGTTGGGACATGCCCTGGTATTTGGTCCTGCTGTGTGCAGGGCACTGCAGAGGGGCAGCTGGTGGTGAGCAGAGCAGATGCCGAGCTTGCACCCATGAGCTGGCAGCATCCTACAGCCTCCCCGGCTCTGCAGAGTCTCCCAGGAGAACAGACCAGGTTGCAGGGTGCTCTTCTCCCATGTTCACCTAGGCTCAGAGCTAACCCAAGACGAGCACTCACCAGCCACAGCTTCTGCTTGCAAGAAGTTGGCTACAAGTCCCTGCCTGTCCCTGCTTCATCCCCTGCCCACCCTGCCCAGAGAGCCCCGATCCCAGGCTGCAGGCACTCTGCCAAGCGGGGAGAGGGAGGCCAAGTACTAGGCAATGGAGCACTGCTAGCAGAGAAGGGGCTTGCAGCAGCACATCCCTGGCCCTAGGATGGGGGAGGCAAGGGTGACAGGACACTGCTCCCACTTACCTTATCCAGGTCATAGAGAAAGCCCTGGAGGAGAGAGGAGAAGGATAAGATGTAGCGAAAAGCCAGCTCTGCCCACTCAAAGAGACCCGGCATGTCGCGCAACCACCACCCATAGCATGTCAGCGCAGATATGCAGCACCCAGCCAGGGCCGGAGGGATGCACGTGATAGTAGAACAAGAACCCTATGTAGCCCAACATCCGAGCCTGGCAGGGCCCTGAATGCCATCACAGGAGCAGGCTCTGCCCTGAGGCATAGATGGACCATGAGCTGCCCCAGACACGACCACAAAGCAAAGCGCTGCTCCCCATAAAGTCCTTCTGTCCTGTGCACCCAGGCTGGGCCAAATACAGCCAGCTTGCCCTTGGGGGCTGTGACACTCACCAGGCGTGAATTTCTCTTGGACTCGCGGATCTGGGTGCTGAGCTTCTCCAGTTCCAGCTGGTGCACCTCCAGGTAGGCTCTGGGGCGACAGCACCACAGTGGTCAGGCTGAGATGCCATGCCAAGCCTGGCATGTATGACGTGGCCCCTGCCAGCCACAGTCCACATTGTGCCCAGCAAGCCAGGTCAGGCCCTGCGCTCCCATGTCCCACTCCCCATATATCACAGTGGCCTTCGGCACCCAGGCAAGGGAGCCCATGGGCACCTCTGTGTAGGATGCAGAGGACAGTACCAGGGCCAACTCTGTAGCACCAGATATGTCCCAGCTGGGGACAGTTTCAGGGAGGTGGTCTAATCCTGGCCCTCCTGCTGCCCTGTGTGACCTCAGGAACTTGCACCCCCTCCCCTGCACTGCTCCAGGACCCTGAGGCACTATGCGGAAGCAGGATGTGCCCAAGGCACCTGGGACATGACTGTCGTTTGAGAGGAGAGAGCTGCTAATCCTGTCCCAGGGCCAGCCAACCCAGGCCAAGCTGTTCCCGTGCCCTCTGGAGCTCTCTGACTGCAACCACCCAGCCATGGGAAGCCCCAGCACTTACGTCAGGCCCTTCTTTAGTGCTTCATACACCTCATCCAGGCGGTTGGGCTGAGGCACCTTGGGCGGTGGGGATTTGTGGGACATTGAGAACATCCTACTGACCCTGGAGCCAGCCTTGCGGGAGACAGTAGGGGTGAAGGGCGAGAGGTTCCTGCGGAGAGAAGCAGGCAAACCCAGCATGGCCGGGGTGAGCCCAGAGTTGGAGTCCACCCTGGGCATCCCAGCCTGCCCTGTCACCCCAGCCCAAGACAAGAGGGAGCACCAGAGAGGAGGCCAGGTCCTGGGAGTGTTCCGACCAGACCTGCCTGTCTCTCCTACAACTCCCGGCCAGCCAGTCTAACCGGCCAGCAGGGCCAGGCAAGATGGAGCCATGAGTGGCTGCAGGGCCAGGCAGCACTGCCTATCCCATGTGTGTACCCCTGCTGTCGACAGCCAGGGCCCCAAGTCAGTGAGCACAGCGCCTTCACCAGCCCTGCTGGCTCTCACTGTCTCTGGGCAGAGAAAGCCCACTACCCCAGGCCTCACGGTGCATCCCATGCTCCATACAAGGCAGGAGCAGCTGGGGATTGCTTTGCAGCCTCCTACATGCCAGAGGGAGCGGGAGAGACAATGAACGAGGTCCAAAGCGATTGATGTGAAAGTTCAGCAACAAGTGTAAACACCCTGCATGCAGGGAGGAGAAGCAACGCATGCACCCGGCAAGGCAGAGTGGCTAGCTGGGGCTCGCAAAAGTGCATGATCCACAGGCACTGTGGCCCCTTATCCCGCTGCTGGCCCTTCTGGTGAAACCTCAGCCCCAGGACAAACTTGGAACCCAGATGTCAAGGATGAAGGGTCCATAGGACAGCAGGGAGCATAACAAGGGTCCATGAAACCTCTGCAGAGAGGTAGAAAGCACTGCTTAGTTTAGGAAAGGGATGCAAGGAGGGATGAGATCAGCCCCCAAGAAGCGTATGGCTGCCCTAAAGCCATAGTTGGCATGGGAAGTGCAGGGAGCAACCTGCTAAGCTCACAATGGAGAACAGCAGGTGAGTTAGTCCCATCTCAGAGTGGTTGGAGAGGCCAGCTGTGGAATACTCTCTGTGGAGGTGTGAGGGCCCCATGCTTCTTGGGAGGGCAAGGGCAAGCTGACCTTGCTCCAGCTGCAGCTGGGCCACGCTCCTGGAGTGCCCACATGACTGTCTCCAGCCCTGACCACCCTCCGAAGGATCACCATGCTCTGCTCCGTCCCCGGCACCCCAGGTTGCCAGGAGCATGGAGATGCTACCTGTAGTCCAAGCGCGGTGATGGCAAGGCAATGCATACCACTGCTGGCCTGCTGCCATACACCCCCTGGGACGGGCAAGGATCCCAGCCAGCATCAGCATGGGTGCATCCTGAGGATGGAGAGCCCTGTCACTCCATCCCTCAGCACAGTGACAAAGGGTAGGGACACAGCGCTGATGCTACACCTCTCTGGACATCACCAAGCCTGCAGTACGAGTACCTCTGCCTGTCCCACTGCCTTGGGGAGCTGCAGGAGGGCTGTGCACCCAAACAGTTGCAAACCCAACAGCTGGGACCTGAATACCACCCTTCTTCCTTGTGCAATGGACTCACCACCCAGCCCAACCAGCAATGCCCCATTCAGACTGGCTCTTCCCTTCCTCTTGCAATGCACTGCCATGCCACCAGTGCCTAAAAGACGCTCTGCGCTTATCAGTTCCCAGCAGTGACCGTCTCAGGTCAGACCTCCCATCCTGTGTGGCTTCTTGGAGAAGCAGCCAAAAGACTTCCCCGAATCTCTGTTGAGGGCAGGAAGGAAGTGAACATCTCTGCCTCAGCCCAAGCCTGGGTGATGAACAAGTGCTTGCTCTCCACAGCCATCCCTCCTCATCCTCATCCTCCAGGGCCCTGGATGCCACAAGCATCTCTCCACCAGCCACTTGGCTGCAGGAGTCCATCCAGCCCCCCCCACATTCCTTTCTCTGAGTGACCATGAGCCATGTTGACAGTCAGATCTGGAGGTGTGCCCACTGTGGGCAGCTGGAGCACGCCGAGCAGGACTTCAATCTGCTCCTAGGCACTGGAAAGCTCTAGCTGGGCTTGTGCCCCCACAGTTGAGGCGTCCATAGCCTGGCAAGGCAGCTAGAGGAATTCCTGAGGCCAGGCTCAGTCATGACACTGCTTTCCCCACCTGCTTGGCTGAGAGATCTCTCTCTTGCCTGGGAGATGCTGAGTGCATTAGGAGGTAAGGAGCCTGGCTGAGCACTAGGAAAAAGGATTGAAAGCATTACAATGCCATGACTCAACAGCCCAAATCCATGGCATGCCCATGTCCCAAGGGACACTTGCAGCTCCTTGGGAAAGGGGAGCCACGAGCTAGGAAAGGGGCAGGGATGAGCAGTGCATGGAGTGGCTCCTGTCGATGTGAGTTTCAGCAGAGAGGAGGAGAAAATTGCCAGCAGCTGGAGAGGATGGGTAGGGAACAATTGCTCACTGTTCCTTGCAACACAACTAATGGACAGCCAATAAAATCTTGCAGCAACAGGCTTAAAATGACCCAAAGGAAGCCCTGATTCACACCAGCACTCCATTAAACTGAGAAACTTGCTGCCACAGGACGTCAAGGCAGTCAAGACATAAAGCTTTAAAGTCCCTTCATCTTCCTTCACTGACAGTCATTGAATGCGATGAGCTGGACATGGGGAAGCCCTCAAGATCTGGCTGGAGCACGAGGACGATAGCACTGTACCTGCTCCTCCATACTCCAGGAGGGCTGGGCTGCACGGCCCTCGTCCAGTCTGGGACAGCCCTTCCTCCTGGCTGGGACATGGCATCATTGAGTGTTGGGGTAACAGACCCCGTCCCTGTCCCCATCCTTTGCAACAGGCAGCATGAGCACCCAGCTCTTACCTGAAAGGCCGGTCCACGGCTGAATTCACTCCGGCGAACGACTGGCTCCTATTGATCTTGGCGACAAGGACTCGGCGTTGCGGCCGCACAGACAGCGACATTGTCGAGTGTGACCTGGAGGGCCTCCCTGCAGAGCATGAGACAACGGGGTCACCTGTGGCAACACACAGGCAGGACTGCCACCAAGACTGGGGTGGGCATGGCACCCACAGATGAGGGCAGCCGCATACATGAACTGGGGTGGGCATGGCACCCAGGGACTGGGGCAAACACAGCACCCCTTTGAGCCCTGGTACAGGGCTGGGAGGTTCCCGTCCCCCTCAGCTTGGTGAACCACCTCATGCAGCACTGGGGCCATGGCTGCAGGACTCCCATGCTGACCCCAGTGGTGGTGTCGGTGCCCTGCCCTGGGTGAAACACGGCCCATAACAAGGCTCTAGGCACTGTGAGTGCTCAGGGGGGGACAGACAGATGGACGTGTCCCAGCGTGGCCCCATGGGAGCCACAGAAAGAGACTGACCTCCAAGGCCCACCACAGTCCTTTCAGGATTTGCCCATGGCAAATCTTCCCCCATGCCCTGGCCTGGCCATCTCCTCCCCAATCCCAACTCATCCCTGCCCACATCCCGCTGAAGGGGCAGGAAGGGCACAGGGCCGGACCTGGCTGCCCAGCCCTTTGCTGTCTCCAAGCTCGCTTCCGTTTGCTCCAGCAGCCAGGATGGAAACCCACGGACAACAAAGCACTCTGGAAAGTCCCCAGCCTTAGCCAGAAGCTCTATATTGGGAAGGCAGAGCCATCTCCAGCAGCACCCTGGAAAGTCCACACAGACAGTGCCCAGGATGGGGACAGCAAGCAGGCACGTGCCCAAGCCCCCTACTGTCACAGCCTCTCTGCTCCCAGTAGCACGATGTCAGACAGACAATGCCAGGAACCCCAAAACTGCTTCCAGTGCCTACCCATCCCCAAGACAGCCACCGTTGTTAATGCCAGCCACTCACCCTGCACAGGACAGTCCAAATTTCAGTCTCGCTGCCCTGACCTGGCTGCCACCCCACATCACAGAGAGCAATTTCTGCATCCCCAGGAACTGTCAGAGGCTCAGAAAGGGCAGACAAAACCACTAGCAAAGAGCAGAGGAGTCTGTGGCCCCTTCTGGCCCTGCCACCCCCAGCAATGCCATCTGGTCACACAGAGGAGCCGAGCCCACTCCTGCCCTATCAGCTCCTGCTGCCAGGGCTGACTGTGCTGCTGTTCACAGGGCCTTGGGCAGCCACAGGAGGGGGGCAGGAGCCACAGCGGGGCCCACTGGATGCTTTATTTTCTCCCAGCCACCACTGCTACCAGCTCGGTTCCTCTGGCCCGTGAGCCCATGTGGTGCCTGGTGGTCGCACACCCCAATGGGGAAGGCTGTGCCTGGCCCCAGGGACATGCAGCCCCCCACTTGGCAGAATGGGCTGAGCTTACCCCAGTCAGAGCTGGCTCCCCACTCCCTGCATTGCTTTTCCTTCTCGTCAATATGGCTGACAGTGAGTCCCCCCAGCTCCCAGTGGTACTGGTGGCAGCACAGGGATGCAGCTGCTGCCAAGGCTCCTGTGGCACAGAGATGTTCATGGCACAGTCAAGATCAGAGGGTCACCTCCCCTTGCTGGGCTTGCTCCTGACAGAGTGGCAGCCATGTCCCGGAGCTGGGCTCCCCAGCCTCCTTTCACAGCCTGTCCGTGGTGGCCAAGCAAACTCCCAGTCATGGACCACCGCCTCCTCAGCAAGCCCATTCCTTCCCCCAGAGCAGCAGCACCCCAGAGCCCAGCACCCAAATCGCTCGCCACGCGGCACGCACCTGCCTGACTGCTGACGGGGATGTGACCGGTGCCGTGCTCCCCGCTGCCCCAAAGCCATGCCACAGCTTTCTCCTCTCCAAATACCCGGCTGAGGCCTGGGCATTCGTAGCCCAGCTCCAGTGGCCCTGACACAGTGCCCAGGACGAGCCAGGGCCACTGCACTGAGGCAGCTACAAGTCAAAGGCTGCTGCCACAGACAAACTCCTGCTGAGTGGAGCTGGGGCACAGTAGACACTGCGCAAAAGTCCTGCTGCCCAGCTGTCCCCTCTTCTTAGCACTTGTTTCCCAGCCTGTGACCACACAACCAAACTGGTCTGCAGGTCCCACTGCCTCAGAGTTAGCTCAGTGCCAGCCCCTCCAGTTTCCAGGACAACGCTGTCCCAATTAAGCTCATTACCAGGAGCTGTAATCCCCAGCAGCCTGGCTGACCTGCAGGGCCTGGGCAGATTACCCTCTGCAGGGCTGTTTAATCAGCTCCCTGACAAGCGAGCAAGACCCATAGAGCAGGGCTTGCTGCCCCAGCGGGGTGTTATGGTGCCTAATCTGCAGGGAAAGCACCTACCAGTGCTGCAGTGGGATCTGCACGTGCGGGGCAGGTCACCCTGAGCAGCACAGCTCCTCAGGGGAGAGCACAGCCCTCCCAGCCCATCCTTCCCCAGCCCCTATCGCTGTCTGAGGGCACAAGGAGGCTCTAAGAAGGGCCATTCAAGCAGGAGGAAAAGGATACTGAGGGCACTGCTGGAAAGAATGGTGCCAGGCATCACAGGGGAAAAGGATGCTAAGGGCATCTCTAGGGAAGGTGCTGAGAGCGTTCCTGGGGGAGAAGGATGCTGAGGGCACCACTAAGGAGGATGCTGAGGCCATTGCAGGGACAGAAGGATGCTGAGGGTATCACAGAGGAAAGGAATGCTGAGGGCACTGGTGGGGGATAAGGATGCTGAGGGCATCACCACAGGAGTAATGCACCTCCCCTGCCTGAATCCCTGGAAAGTCAGAAAGAGCCCCAGGCTCTCCCCCAAGATGTCTCATAGACTCCAGGAGTTAGGTGGGCCAAGTTGGAACATGCTTCCAGCCTGCCTGAGGCCATTGTCTCAAGACAAGGAGCACTGTGATGAGCTGTGACCCCCAGAGGACTGTGTCCTCCTGTCCCAGACCAGAGACCAGCAGCTTCCCCCTGCTAGGCTCTCCCCCAAACACACCCCAAGTTGCACCATGCTGTGAGGCAGAATTGCTGTAAGAGTGAGTGAAGACAGGCCTTGCCCAGCACCAAGGGACCACGCAGCCCTGGCACATGCTGCCAGCTAGCCCAGTGACTGGCCTGGAGGACTGACCGCTCACTGCCAGGTCTTGCCCAAGGCTGCCAGTGCCATATGCTGCCCCTCCACAACCACCCCTGGTTATCACCCCCCTCCCCAGCCCCTTCAGAGCCTGTGCCCTGGGCCATGATACCCTGCAGCCCAGCTCCTTGCCAGACCCTAAATCACTTCGATGTTGCCAAGAGCCCCGAGTGGGCCCTGCCTTCCTGCCAAGTGCTGAGGGATGCTTTAGCCTGGCATACATTGGGAAGCAACCCGGATATTGGGGAGCAGTAGGTGGGAGGCTGGGCATGCACAGCACAGGGTCTCTCACTCCTGGGAGGAGGCTGGGCAGGAACAGTGCTGGGTGTCCTGCTCCAGGCACGCTCCACTCCTGGCGGCGTGGTGCATTCCAGACATTACCAAGATAAGAGGTACCTGGTACCGCCGCGGCTGGCCATGGCGGTGAGCGGGGCCCAAGGCGCACTCTTAGAGGGGTAGCAGCAGCAGCATCTCACCCAAGGCTCTGAGAAGGAGCCCCTCACCAGGCTCCCAGGGAGGCCAGCGCCAAACAGAGCCCTGACACACGTGTCTGCTGCCAGCTGAACCCGGGGCACGTTCCCC